GTCCCATTTCCATATAAACTATGGGACTGACGGAAAGGTCTGTCACCGCCCCGTTCTGCATGCTGCAGCGAAGTGTACTAAAAATTATTCATCATTAAATCTGGTTTTAACATTACTTTTATAAAGTTTGAAGTCGGTGCTGTCCAATCCAGCTCACTGCTTTTTTACAGAAGCCCTGTGAAAGCATCACAGCTTTGCCGATCTCAGAGTGTTAAAAGAAAAAAAATTCCTGTATCCGCATCGTGATCTGGAACAACACCAAAATTTAAAGGTGTGTTCCTTGGCCCAGTACACACATGTGGTGTAAATTTCATGACAATCCGTCCACAAGTTTTTGAGTAATGTTGTCCACAGATAGACAGACAGACAGACATGACTGAAAACATTACCTCGCCCTAGGCAGAGGTAACAAAACAAAAACAAAAACAAAAAAAACAAAACACAAACAAAACCAAAATCAGCCTCACCCTTTTCCCTGCGATGTATCCCCCTGCAGCACTAAAGCTCTTGGTAAAGGTGCCCATCATGACGTCCACATCACAGGGGTCAAGACCAAAGTAATCCACCACCCCTCTTCCCCTCTGACCCAGAGCCCCGATGCTGTGGGCCTCGTCTAGGTAAAGGTAGGCCCTGTAGTGCTTCTTCAGAGCAACAATCTCTGGGAGGCGCACTATACTGCCCTCCATACTGCAGGGAAAAACGAAGAAAGTGAAGGAAGTCTCATCAAAAGTTTCAGTTYAAATACCTGAAAACAGCTGTGGACAAACCAGCTGTCAAATGAAGACAAATCTTTTATTTATCACATGGAATGTGAGTATTTTGTGCCCATTTCTAAACTTTACCTGGACAGGACAGTTATTTCCACAGATCTGTTAAGTTTGTAAAATTACCAACCAACATATAAAATGGGTGAAACAGTGAAATAAGTTTATGTTTAATTAACTGTTAAGGATTTGAAGATGTTTTGTTTCATCAACAGTCATTTTTTTACAGTTCAGAAGACTAAAAAAAAAGATAAAATAAAAACTCGTTTTTTGTTGTGGAAAATCCATAGATACCTGTAAATACCCTCTACAACTATCAGGATCTTCTTCCAGGGTCTGTGAGTCCTGGGCTGACCGTGAACTATAGCTTCTCTCAGCAGCTTCTCAAGGCTCTGCATATCTGACAAACACAAGATTAACATCTACTCACTGACTGAGCCCAAAACACAACCCAGAAAGTAAGAAACAAAAATCAACATTTTTTTCTCTCTCTCATATTGAGAAAATGTTTATAAGCAAAATTTGAGACCAGCAGCTAAAAACCACGTGCGTTTCTTTACCTACAATCAGCCGAAGTGAGTAAAAATAGGTAAACAACATAGATATTCATTAGTGATGGGCAGTTTGAAGCTGAAGCTTCGGCGCATGTATTAAAAAAAACAACACACTGTTTCAGAAGC